GAGAAAGGGATCTGTTTGTCTCTAACAACAATATGAAGTCTTTGCTTATGAGGTGTTGGTATACAAGTAAATTATTGTTTAACTCATTTTTATCTTTCAAAGATTTCAGAATTTTCTCTTCTACCATATCTATATGAGCATCCTGTTTTACAATCCACACTGGGGCAATTGCCTTAAGAGAGGCTGCTTTCACCTACCATCTGTTGACATCCTTGGCCATAGCTTTTATATAAGATCTTAACCCAACCAGCAAGGCAGCGGTCAATTTGGGAGAGCAAATTTCCTCCTTTCACCACTTCTCTCCCCATACTTGATTTCCCTGTACTCTGCTTGGCAGTGCTCCTCCCTTGCATGTCCTTTCCTGTAAATTGTTTACTAGAAATAAAACTAGGAACAGAAGGCCAAGAGTTGGCATCCCCAAACCGCCTTTTTTTTACCATGCTAATCATCACCACCTGGAAAGGGAGAAAATACTGTATTCTCTATACGAAGGTAAATGTTTTTTCAATTGTTCTCTCTATAAGTTTCTGGGGTGGGGTGGACACACTGCCACCAGATGAATTGCTGCTAGTATGCTGTATGTGTTGAAAATTTTTGCCTTCTGTACATAACTGTCAAGCCTTCGTTTTTTCCAGTCGGGTCTCCACCCTTCCTCCAGTCTTCTTCCCACCCATTTGGATCAAGTGAAATGAAGATTCCCCAGAATCTTAACTGTGGTCTGCCTGCTCATGTCTCCTGCCTGTTTGCTGAAGGCTTCCTTTAAGGTCTTTCCTTCTCTCGTCCCATCTAGATCCTCAGGATCTTAACCGTGGTCTGCCTGCTCATGTCTCCTGCCTGTTTGCTGAAGGCTTCCTTTAAGGTCTTTCCTTCTCTCATCCCATCTAAACTATATACTCTAATCTTTGGCTTATTATCACTCCTGAAACCTTCCCATATTCTTCCAATATTTCTGTTACTAGTCTCAACTCCTGCTCATTGGTCACGAATAGAAATGTTATCTGCCTGGACCACAAACTTGATTCTTCTAACTCTCTTCTTTTGAGGTATCTTCAGAAAGGTATAAAACCTCCAATTTGTCCATCCTACTCTATTAATGTCAGAAGTGGATCTACTGCCAAAATGTGGGACTCAACAGGCAACCTTGTCTCAGTCCTAATCAAATTGAGATCTCTGTCCTCTTCCAACCATTCACCTGTGGCTCTGCCGTAGTCCTTTTGTAGCACATTTTTAACTATACCACAAAGCTGACTGGTAGACTTTTCAATTCCAGAGCCTTCTAAAGATAGATCTGATTGATCTTGTTGAAGCCTTTTGAGTGGTCCATTTGTAAAAGCGTCCTCTCCTCTCCACCCTCTCCAGCAACTTCAAAGAATTCCCAAAGGATCTCTAGATCTTTAGTCATGTTCCAGTCTGGGATTGATGAAGTCTGTCCTGTCACAATCAACGTTCCTACCACCCCATCAATCTCTAGTTCAGTACCCTCGCCAACAAATAGTAGACAGAGGGGGATCAGTTCCAACCCCCCATGGGTAGTGAAAAGCATGGATTATAGCTAACAGTCTGTAGGACCCAGGACTCCCCAGAAACTCTAATTTTTATCTCAATGATGCCTCTATGAGTAAGAGCTGAGTTGAAATCTTCTCTTGTTTCTCAGCATGCTGAAGAGTGAAGATGACAATCTCTCTCTGTCTCTCTCTCACACACACACACACACAAACACACACTCACACACACACACACACACACACACAATCTCAACAGCCCTGTGGATTTTCTTCAAGGACAATTAGGAATCCATTTCCTTGCTTGCTTGCGAGTGTTGAGGTAGGGGCCAGCCAGAAGGAAAGAAGGGTGGGAGGTGGGAAACCTCTCCCAGGAAGCAGTTTGGCTTAGGTTAGTGCCCTGGCCTTGCCAGGCAATCCAGCTCTGAGTTTTACAGCAACATGGCTCTGGAATGGAAAGGAAGCTTCCAGGAGACCAAGTGAATTGGTGGTGGCGTACCTCAGGGATTCCCAAATTGTGTGCTGTGGCTCTGTGGGGCACCTGAAATCCAAGCCAAGGAAAAAGGACAGAATATAGAACCATGAAGGCTGTAGAGGAGCTGTTCACAGCTCTATGTCAAAAGGAACTGGAAGCGGAGGCTGTCTGCCTGCCTCTCCTTGCCTCATCTCTATGGTGCCTGGTAGATGCACTTCCCAGGTGACCTTGAGGGTTTCCTGCATCAGGACCTGGAAGGAGGTGGGCCCCAGGGATATTTGGCAATGGGAGACGGCATGGCTGTGGAAGGGTGTCAAGAGCCTACCCCAGTGAAACTCCTGATGGCCCCTCCGAGCAAGGGGAGCAGCAGCAGTGATTAGTAAATCAATGAAGTCATGAGTCCAAAATGTTTGGAAACCACTGGCCTACCTATATCATAGTGTTTGATTCCCAGTGTGGATTTCGAGCTAATAGATCCACCACTGACATGGTATTCTCCCTCAGATAGTTGCAGGAGAAATGTAGGGAACAACAACAGCCACTCTTTGTGGCCTTCATAGATCTCACAAAGGCCTTTGATTTGGTTAGCAGAGACAGCCTTTTTAAAATACTTCCCAACATTGTATGTCCACCTCGACTCCTTAACATCATCATGAAGAAATGAAGGGCACTGTAGTTTTTCATGGCTCAACATCAGATCCCTTTGACATCCGAAGCGGAGTGAAACAGGACCGTGTTCTTGTGCCAACTCTGTTTGGGAGCTTTTTTGCTGCCACGCTGAAGGAACTTTGGAACTCCAACAGAAGGCATCTATCTCCGGACTAGATCAGATGGAAAGCTCTTTAATCTCTCTAGACTGAGAACAAAGACCAAAGTCCAGCTGAAATGCATGCAGGACTTCCTCTTTGCCGACGATGCAGCTGTTGTTGTCCACTCTGCTGAAGACCTCCAACAACTCATGAATCGTTTTGGATCACAAAACTCACAAATGCCTTCCCTACCCAGTCCTCTCCTTCGTACCTGGTTGAAGCATCACAAACCTGTCAGCCACCATGGTCCTATTATTAAAGTTCCCTATCACTAGCAATTTTCTCCCTGTCCTTGTATAGTACATTAAGTACCTTCCTTTGCAGGAGTCCTGGGACTATGCAGTTTGTCCAAGGCTACGCAGGCTGGCTCTTCTTCTAGGAATTGAACTACCAAGCTCTGGCTCTGCAGCATACGTAAACTACCGAGCTCTCCAAGCAATCTAACTAAACCTGAAAAGAGGAAAGTGCATGATGTTCCACCCTCTCCCCACACATTTCTGTTGCTCTCATGTGTGAAGAGAGCCTTGGGAAGAAGAGATGTGTTTAGCCTCTAATTAGACAGGGATTTTTTTCACACAGGTTTTTAAAAACGCATGTTCGATGTAGTTTGACCTTCCATTTTTATGGACAAGTGGCACAAACTCTACTTTTCTTGTCGTCCATGACCATGTTGGTGCTAGTATCTCCCATCAGGACTGCTTCATACCCTCATCCTCACAGTTTGGTCCTTTCTATGACATTCAAGATGGCAGAATGTCCATCAGAGGCCCATCCCTGTCATCTCCATCTTGAGTTAGTATGTATTTTTTCACATCAGCTGAGAAAAATAGGATGAAAATATTACCTTAGAAATAGAGCCATATTTGGCAGTGAATGTTAAAATTTTATGAGTGAAGTTTAAGAAAATAGTTACTCACAATGACAAAGTGCCTTCAGAATATTTTAAATTGTCTTTTCCTTTTTGATGGTTGTTGTTTTTTGTGCTGTTTGGCCGTGTTCTTAAGGTTTTTCTTCCTAACGTTTCGCCAGGAGTCAGAACTTTGTGCTCTGGTGCAGTTTGCGGGCACATCGTGGTGAGTGTGTTGGGATGCCTGCATGTGTGTAGGGGCGGGAGGTGATGTCTGCGTCGTGAGTTTGTGACATGAAGATGGTATCCTAACCTGTTGGGGTGTGTTATTGGCTGCAGGCAGAATCCAAGCAATAAAATACTGTACAATTTTAAAAACTAACTACGAAAAGGAATGTGGTATTATAGTACCCAAAGGGTCTTCAGAGACTTTTGTTGTGCAATTGCCTACTGCAGCAGATTCTTTCCCTTTTCCTTCCCCTACTTTTCCTGTCAGCAGATTGAGATATTATCAAAACGAGGAAAAATCCCTTTTTGGGGGCTACAAAAACATGCCAAATAACCCGATCCAACATACAGTAGCTATTGGCCTCGGGTATTGTGGAAAGACCTATAGTCCGGGAGCAGGGGAGGAATATTTCCCATCTCTGAAGCTTCCTGCTCGAACATTGAACTTCCTAAATCGTGTTACAAATCTATGCACGTAAGTGAATGTGTGTTTGTGTGTGTGGGGTTACTCGGGAAACTCAACATGCCAAATAACCCGATCCAACATACAGTAGCTATTGGCCTCGGGTATTGTGGAAAGACCTATAGTCCGGGAGCAGGGGAGGAATATTTCCCATCTCTGAAGCTTCCTGCTCGAACATTGAACTTCCTAAATCGTGTTACAAATCTATGCACGTAAGTGAATGTGTGTTTGTGTGTGTGGGGTTACTCGGGAAACTCTCATCTCTGAAGCTTCCTGCTCGAACATTGAACTTCCTAAATCGTGTTACAAATCTATGCACGTAAGTGAATGTGTGTTTGTGTGTGTGTGTGGGGGGGTTACTCGGGAAACGGTAGTGCCGTGAGCAATTCAGAGAGAGCACTTCCTGCAATAAGGAATTCGGCGTATGCCGCGCTGAAGCACGCCGAGGCCAAGCCTAGCCGGGACCCTTCGCAGCAATCGCTTTCTGGGCAGCTGAACGGGAACCGCCGCCTCTGCAGCGCGGAGGACCCCCTGCTCCTCCTCCTCCTCCTCCCCGGGGCGACCGCCCGTCTCCTCGCCAAGGCGGGGACCGGGAAAGAAGACCAGCCGGGCGTGCGCTCCGCGCCATGGTGACGGGCGCTCAGGAAGTCGCGTCACGCGGCGCCCGCCCTTTTTGGTGCAGGGTGAGCAAGAGCGCACGGGTGACCGGCTGCCCGGTCGGTCCTGAGTCTTCGGCGGCACTGAGTTCCCGTGGCGGGTACACCAGTCTTTGGCAGCTGCGCGACTGGCAAGGTCAGGGGAAGCTTAGGTTGAAGGGTGGGAGAATCCCTTTGGGGCAGGAGGATGGAAATGCGTCCCAGGGAGTCTTGGTGCGTATGGCAGGTGTGGGTGGGTGCGTGCGTGCGTGAAGGAGACGCATACCTAGTCTGTCTCAGAGGAGGGACTCTCCTGGGGGATATAATGTAGGGGCAGTTTGGAAGGTTGTTCCCAAAAGCTATTTTTTGGGATTCCCTCATGGGTAGGCTCTTGGGCGACATCGATTTCGGTGATGCGGGGCACGTTGTGGTGAGTGTGTTGAGATGCCTGTATGTGGGTGTAGGGTATGTGTGATGTCAGGGTCTTGAGAGTTTCTGACCTGAAGATGGTGTCATAACCTGTGGGGGTGTGTTATTGGCTGCAGGCAGGAATCCAAGCAATAAAATACAATTTTAAAAGCTAACTAAGAAAGGAAATACGGTATTATAGTAACAGAGGGGTACTATTCAGAGACTTTGGTTGTGCAATTGCCTACTGCAGCAGATTGTTTTATATAGTATGCCTTATTGTTTTCAGTTTGAAGCTCCTGTAAAATTTCCCATCTTTTGTCCTGTCTTTTTCTCTAAGCACCAAATAACACATTTAAATGCGGAAATACTTTTCCCCTTACACTGTGTAGAAGTAGATTCTCCATGCAGACTGGAAAAGGGCATAACATAGTTGAATACTGTATCTTTGGTGGATAGCTACAGAGCTTTTGCAAATAGATAGGAGAAAACAGTAAATAATAGCAAAATGTATTACTTTCATTACTACTGAGGGGGGAAATGTGTTTGCCTGATGCAAAGGAGCTTTCAGCAGTGTTATTCATCTTTCTGTGCTTGTGATGCACTTGTGTGTATGTATTTTGTTGAAACATAATAGTGAATGAAAGCAATTCAAGCATTATAATGACTATAAGGGCCAGCCTGATGTATGATTCAGAGCAGATGCTGCAGGTAAATCCAACTAGTTTTTTTTAAAAATGAGCTGCTTTTACTATTCCCTGTTTCTTTCAATCTTGTATGCTGTTGGTGTACTTAACTAACCTTGGGTGAAAATACTTTTCATTATCCAGGCAGCTTGGCTGATATTGGTCCTGTTACCATGGTGACTACACAGCTTGTGTGAAATACCTTGGCAGTAGCCTGCTGCTACTCAGAGACATTCAACACCCGATACTAATATCTGGCAGTCCTACTTTTATTTATAGCAAAGCTTTTGAGCCTGTGGTATATTTTTACTATGAGCGGCTTCAAATTAGGCTAAAGTGCATTATCTTAACACTCTAATATATATGCCACTGAAAGCATGAAAAACAAATCTGTTGGATTTTGAAGTAGAGGGGTGGGATCAGGCTGAGGACTTTCAGATGATTTTTGATTGCAGTTTTCTGATAATTAGTGATCCTGATGGGAGATGTGGTTCAGCAATGTTGGGAATTCATGCTCTAGATAACTACCATTATGAAGTTGCCATTAATCTGCTGCTTTTGATTTCAGTGACAAATAGCACCTGCTGCTATAAAGAAATATTCATTTTGAATGCTCAAATTCTTTTTTCACTTGTTATGTACATGATATTTATGTTTAACTGCAATTTCTTCACAATTATCCAAGTTTATAGACTAAAGAAGGAACGACAGAAATGATCTCTGTAACCTTGCGAGTTTAAATATGTGTCATAAGGAGTAAAACCTTCTCTGTGTGTAAACACTTTGGTTACTTGGCAGAGAAGATGTGTGTCATTTTTGAAAAACTATTTATTTTCTTGTCTTTCTGAAGTTACAACAGATACAGAAGAACAGAAAGCAAAACAGCTGTATTTGTAATATGCAGTTTAATCCTTTGCATATTTAATATGAAACTCCTCTGAACAAGCACAGAATTTCAGTTTCAAGAGGGCTGATAACTAAAACAAACAGGGACAGTGAAAGAATATTCAGACAGAGCTGATTTATTAATATTTGCATATGGTTTCCTAGAGTATTGTCTTGTAATTCTGTGCACAATTAATCTTTAACATTGACTTTATTATCTTTCTCTAGCTCATGGTTTTGAATTTAAATTGTGAATCATGGATGATGTTCCTTTGTCACTTGGAACAATAGATGTTTCTTATTCATCATCTTCAGTAGAATGCACTGTCTCAAAGTGTAAACTGTCCAGTGAAGAATGGGTAAGTATAATGTGCTGCTGTTTATTTTCAGTAACTTCTCATTTCCTTAAGTTTGATATTATTCTCCCATTACTAATTACAGTACTGATTGCTAATTCTCCCATTACAGTCTGTACCTCTGTTAAATCTCAAAAAAGAAAGAAAGAAAAGAAAAGAAAAGAAAAGAAAAGAAAAGAAAAGAAAAGAAAAGAATGAATCATAGTAGATCTGAGGGAAAGAGCAGTATAGACAGTTGTGGATAGGATATTCATAGTTCCAGGCCTCCCAGCCCCAGAAGTCACCTGGAATCCCCCAAGCAGACTTCTTGGACTGAAAGAGGAGGAGGAACAAGGCAAAAGAGTGGTCTTCCTAATGCTCTTATGAGCGATATGTGCTTTGGCTAGGAAGCAGAAGGGAACATCTCTTGAACCGCACTGTTTCCCAGCAGAGTCCACTTACTTCTCCATGGAAGAGTAGTCCTGCTACCCATTAGATTCTATAGTGGGAACCTCTCAATAAACTACCCTCCCATCGAGCAGTGAAATGACTCCCAAAAAGCAGTCCAATTGAGAGGGTATTCCCTTTTGCTTCCCAGATAAAGTATGTGTAGTGAAGCAGGTCATGGTCTTTTGCCTTATTCTTTTTCATCTCCTAGTCCCTGGCTTGGGATACTGAAATTATAAAAATCCCATCCTTACTTTTCATTTTCTGGAATTTCAGATAGAGGAGATTATTGTGACTCCTGAACTCTATAAAGGTTCTGTATTTATAATAGTTCAGTACCAAACAACAAAAATGCAAGTACTTAAAGAGGTCATGTGGCACTAGAAAAGGCTTCCATGGCCCAAATTAGATGTGATGTGAGGAAAGAATATCAACAAATTTTGAAGTCCATTGCAGATTTTAAAAAGAAAACAATAACAACAACAGTAATGCACCCTTTGGTCTTGAGGTAGACATGAGGAGCAATCAACAGCTGTAAGTGGGTGAAATGTAAAGATAGTTATGAAGTGGAGGAGGATATGATGTCAGCAGACTGGTTAAAATTTGATTATGCAATATTTGGGGATGAGGAGCACATGAACCTGAAATTCTTGATGATTGGGAGACATGGTCAGTGATAAAACAAAAGAGGATTACTTTGACATCTGTGTTTGAGTCTTTCTTTATAAGAAAAAAGTTGATGCTACAAATAACATGTGTGAGAATGGTTTAACTTTTATACTAGGCGGAATGGATTGGCAGTAGGTCCAGCATAGAATTAAAGGGAGGCTGCTAAGAAGATTTGTAAATTTCTTCAGTGTTTGGAAATGGTCTGTTGTGTGATAGCCTGTACTTGTTTTTAGTGTCTTAAAGTTTTTTGTAATTTGGTCTCTGTACATTTGTATAGAACTTTACTCTCAGTTTGGTGTGCTAACTTTTACTTGACATCCTTGCCTTTTGAAGCCTGTTCTATGCATGTTCAATCATAAATAAATCCTATGGGAATTTAGTGGGACGCGGAAGTAGGTCTGCATAGGAATAGTATTCTTTGATTTTTGTTCAAGATAGCTTTCATTGCCTCATTGTATTGCAGTTATATATAAAAATCAACAGGAACATTCAGTTCAGTAACTTTTCCAGAGAATCCTTTATATTTAAGGAAATAGCAGGAAAAAGTCCTTAGTCTTCTTTAAATGGCTGAGATCCTGTTCCTGTTATTTACTTTGCATAAAGCTGCTGATGTTTTCACCAGTGGAAATTTTTGGTAATTAAATATTTCTTTCTTCTTTCCCAAGGCTTCTTTGGAAATCACAGGATTGGAGGGGGAAGTCTTTCATTACCAAAATCACTGCTACCAGAATGACTTTACCAATAGTGTCAATTTTGAGTAATTAAAAGTTCTGTCTCCCATCCTGTGGCTTCTGCAGGTTCTCAAGAATGAAAGCAGTTACCCAAGGGTTGAAAATGTTAATTTCTGAAAATTAGCTGTTGTTGTTGATGTCATCAGTGGTATACAGCATGAATTCCAGCAACAGGATTTCAGCCACTCCATTACATTTGCAAGTGGCGTGTTTGTGTAAAAATGAGACTGACGGGTACATGGAGACACTCATTAGGCCCATAAGAAAGAAATCTAATTTGGCGGTGGACGAAATTGGCAATTATAGGCCCGTCACCAATGTTTCTTTCATGAGCAAAGTGGTCGAGAGGGTGGTGGCTGACCAGCTTCAGGTACATCTGGATGAAACAGATGCCCTGGATCCATTTCAGTTGGGCTTCAGGCCGTGCCACGGTACAGAGACGGCATTGGTCGCCCTGTATAATGACTTGTTGAGGGAGGCTGACGGGTAAAATATCTTTATTGGTCCTCCTCAGCAGCCTTTGATACCGTTGACCACGATTTCCTCCTGGGGAGGCTTTCTGAGTTGGGTATCAGTGGCTTGGCTCTGGCCTGGTTCCGTTCCTTCTTGGAGAACCGCCCCCAGAGAGTGCAGCTTGGGGAGAGTATTTCGGCCTCGTGGAGTCTCAAATGTGGGGTTCCACAGGGGTTGACTATTTCCCCAATGCTGTTTAACATCTATATGAGGCCGCTGGGTGGGGTCATCGGGGGGTGTGGAGCATCGTGTCATCAATATGTTGACGACACCCAGCTCTACATCTCCTTTTCACCAACTGCAGGTGATGCCGTCCTGTCCCTCCAGCGCTGCCTAGGGGCCATACTGCAATGGATGCAGGAGAACGGGCTGAGGCTGAACCCGGACAAGA